CCTAATTTGAATATGTTTATGTCTGCTTTCATTTTAGTACTTTTTTGTTTTTCGTATAGTATTGTTGTCTACTTTTTCTTCAGTAATCTTAATGTAATCGCTTTCTTGTGAAATTTTCGCTTTTTATTTTTATTTATTTTTTATTTTTTATGATTTATTTTTATTCCTAATCGGTGTCTTATATGTGATTTATTTTTCAAATTTTATAAAAAAAAATTAAAATCTAGTTCTTGTTTCTATTGTTTAATATTTACTCAATTTCTCAATATTTTTTTTTTACATTTTATATATTTATAATTTCGTCTTGTTTATGATATATAATTATCATTTAATTATTTTTTACATACATATTCATAAGTTACATTCTTTATAATTTATCTTTTACTTATATTTACTTATCAGTTTCTCGTTTTACATTCTTTAATTATCATTATTTTCTTATTCCTAAAGAATCTCCTATCCAGATTCTCGTTATTTCCAACCTTTATTATGCGTTCACTTATTTGTTCTCGTTCTTTAGGTGAGCGTTTAAAGTGAGTCATTTTCCTTTATTTCCCTCGCTGGCTTGTCCGGACCAGACGACCAAGTAACCTTTCCACAGTCACTTTTTCTTCCAGTCAAATTCCTAAACAGATACCTGCCTCAGTCATTTCCCCTACACATTCACCTTCCCACACACTCAGTCACCTTCCCACACAATCACCTTCCACCTAGTCACCTTCCCACACATTCACCTTCCCGTACAGTCAGTCACCTTCCCACACATTCTCCTTCCACCTAGTCACCTTCCCATACTGTCAGTCACCTTCCCACACAGTCAGTCACCTTCCCATACTGTCAGTCACCTTCCCACACAGTCAGTCACCTTCCCACACAGTCAGTCACCTTCTCACACATTCACCTTCCCACACAGTCAGTCACCTTCTCACATTCTCCTTCCCACACACTAACCTCGTCACGTGTTCAGTAAAGGCGTGGTGCTTCCCCTCCTCCTCCTCCTCCTCCTCCTCTCCTCTGCTTCTATATCATCCAATAATTCTTCTTCTTATCCACATATACGTAATATCTCTTGATATTTTTTCCCTTTGTCCTGTTTTCCTCTTCTTTGTCTTGTAATGTTGATTTTTTGTTTTCCCCCATCTGTTTTTTCCTTTATTCTTATTTATTTCATTTTTTCATTTTACTTTTTCTCTTTTTCTCTTCGTCTTCTTTTCTTCTTCTTGGTTCCTTTATCTTTTTTTCTTCAGATTTCATTTTTTCCCCTTTATCTAATGTTCTTGTTCTTCTTCCTTCGTTCCTCAGTCTTATTTTCCTTCTTGGTTTCTTATTCTTTTTTCCTTCTCTGTAGTTCTTAATCCTATTTTCTTCTTCCTTAATCTTATTTTTCATTCTTCTTACTTCCTTAATCTTATTTTTCCTTCCTCTTACTTCCTTAATCTTATTTTCCTTCTTGGTTCCTTCCATATAAGTATTTTTGGGGAACCTTTTAATCTTATTTTCCTCTTCCGCGTTTCTTAACTTTTGTTTTTCCTTGTGTTATTCAGTCTTTATTATTTTTTCTTAACTTTCTTTCTTCTTATTCCAGGGTTCCATATTTCCTTTTATCCTTCTGGGGTCTTTTATCACATATTCCTCCTTTTTCTTCTTCTTCTCTCGTCTCGGCAGCTCTTTATATTCTGTGATTTAATCTGTCTTCACTGTCGCCCGGCGTTCAGTCTTGCTCTGTGGCGGTCACAATGGCGAAGCTTCCTCACTGTCAGTCTCTCTCTTTCTGTCTGTCTATCTTCCTCTCCTTGCTTTTCGTTTCTCCCTGTCACTGTTATCTCTCTTTCTCTCTCTCACACACAGGAATCATAAACAACCACACTTCTCTCTCTTTTGTTTTGTTGTATAAGAGAGGAGAACGAGAGAGAGAGACAGAGAGACAGATTTGGAGTTCTTTTTTGTCTCGCTTTTTATTGTCTACGTATATTCTTTTGTTACACGTCATATAAAGGAGAAAGAGAGAGAGAGAGGGAGGGAGAGAGAGGGGAAGGGGGCTTTTCATATATCACCTCTACCGCTCTTTCTTCATTGTCTCCGTATTCTCGTTTATTACATGTTGTATGTGAGAGAGAGAGAGAGATAACTAATCGTTTTTCTTCTCTTCTCCTCATTCTTCATTTCCTCCTTATCCTCTTTCGCTGCACGTGGCCGAGAGAAAGAGAAAGAGATTATTTCACCCCTTCTCCCCTCATTATCATGTCTTTCATATTCATCAGCCTTTCTTTTATCTTCCTTCACAAGACGTTGACTTCGCCTCCCTCTCCTCCGTCATTATCATCGTTTGTGTCCATCGATCCTTCTCGTTCCCCCTTGTTCCTCTTTCGTAAGATGTGTGTTGAACAAAAGGGTCATTTCTGCCTCGCCTGTCACAGTGATGACGACCTAATGGTACCTCAGAGTCAGATTCTATGAAGACGAACGTATAAACACAAATTTTAGGTTTAAAGTCAAGTTACAAAAATTTAACACGTGGTGAAGGAAAGGTTATTCTGTAATATCAACACAGGTACAGATGTAGGTGTAAATTACAGGCATATTACAGTTATAATTCCTAATATGATAGTATATTTATATTCAGTTAATCTGTGCACAGTCAGAATCAGGTACAAATACAATATTTTTTGTAGAATTTATCAGCACCAATAGGAAATTAGGTTTTAAATACAGCTACGGTAATTCTCATGTAGTGACTTAATTTATTTAGATATTTCTATACAGGTACAGTACAGCTATAAGTATAGAGGACAGGTACAGTGATTCTTAGGTGGTGTCAGTTTTATACAGTGTCTCCTTCACTGGAGTGTGAATAGACTTATACTTAAGAACAGCTTCACATGGCCATATATTCTTAGTAATTATGTAACATTGCCATATATTTGCTTAGTAATTACTTAACATGGCCATATTTACTTACTAATTACTTAACATGGCCCAATTCACCTAAGAACTACTTAACATGGTGACTTATACTTAGTAATTGCTTAACATGGCTATATATTCTTAGTAATTACGTAACATGGCCATATACCTGTATACTTAGTAATTACTTAGCATGGTCATATATCCTTACTAATTACTTAACAAGGCCAAATTTACCTAAGAACTACTTAACATGGTCATACATGCTTTAGTGATTACTTAACGTACACATCGAGTACACGTTGTAATGGAATCAACCACCCTTGTAATCATCTCGGAGGCAGACATAAAAGACCTGAATTATCTAGATGAGTCTGCCCTCTCACCCTCCCTCCCTTGTCGACGGCTCGACGGTTCACACATACACCTCCCTCCCCGGTCGACGGCACATACACCTCCGAATCGACACACACACCTCCCTGGTCGACGGTTCACACATACACCTCCCTGGTCGACGGTTCACACATACACCTCCCTGGTCGACGGTTCACACATACACCTCCCTGGTCGACGGTTCACACATACACCTCCCTGGTCGACGGTTCACACATACACCTCCCTGGTCGACGGTTCACACATACACCTCCCTGGTTGACGGCTCACACACATGTCCCAGATCTCTGCCTTAAAGTTGGGGGTTTTATAAGCTAGAGGAGGCGGTCTGAGTTGCCAGTTCACTGTTAATTGCCGACATTAGAGGTGCCACTCGTGATTATCCCCAGCCACTCTGCTGGCTGTTATGGTCGCTTCCGGGCACTGTTGTTTGTTTTCTCTCTCTCTCTCTCTCTCTCTCTCTCTCTCTCTCGTTGTGATTTTCTCAGTTTTGTGGGTTTTCATTTTGAATCTACTGTATTTCTTTTTCTGACTGCCATTGTGTCTGTTTGTCTCTAAGAGTTCTTTTTTGTCGGTTTATTTTTGTGTAGTGTTTTGGTTTAACTCTCTCTCTCTCTCACACACACACACACGTATTTATATCCATTAAATCACTTCACGCTATGTGGGGGGAGGGGGCGTCTAAGAAGGAAGAGATAAAAGGGGAGAGCAGGGAGGGAAAGGTGAGGAGAGGAGGGAGGAGGGTAGTGGAGATGAGAAGAGGAAAGAACTGAGTTCACACATTTACGCAACAAACAAAATCAACAACGTCCGTGCACGTGAAGAGGTTGCTAGAGGAATAGTGAGAGGTGCGACGACCTTCCCCTTCCACCGCTCATACGACCATCTATGAGGTCATTACACACAAACAGATCGATCTCACAAACTGCATCCAGACAACCCAACAGACGACTAACAGATGAGGAATAGACGTAGAGAGAGTAGAAACCCACCGGGTACAAGAAGGCAACCATGAACACAATAGTGTGAAAATAATACAACACCACGTCCTACACTGGAGAACTAACATATTCACTTTGTCCAGCCAGTACAATCAAGTTAACCCAGACATTAAGCGACAAAGAGGGCTCAGGCTCTCACTTGACTCAGCCATGTCAATATTGTTCTTATTGTCTATATTTTTCTGGCTAAATAAACTGTTTCAATATAAATTAAATATTTATTATATTCACAAACGCCCAAGTCCAAAAGGCATTTGAGGAAATTAAAATATTTGGTTACAAGATCCACAAATCTAATCTGTCAGAGGAGCCAAATGACGCCATAAAAAGAGATATCAACCACAAATCAACCTGACTACAGGACCAATCATAATAGCCACAACCTACCTCCCACCACGCAGGTACCACCTACCTTACGGGGACTTGTACAGACTTCTATCATACCACCACCCAACCTACATCATCGGGAACCTGAACGCCCAACCCTCTACTAGATGGTACGAGGACAACCAACAATGTTGGGAGAGGCCTCGCTGCCCTCATGGCTGACAAAAAATAAAAACGGTAAGCTAATAGGCCCAGACTTCTCCACGTTTTATAGCAGGAACTCAGCCACTACTTCAGACACAGCAATAACAAACGGCAGATGCTTCCATAACTACTTCTTTGAACAAGCTCTTGTAACCTCCAGCTACCACTTACCTGTAATCATGACCATTTCCGCAACACCAATAACTATACCAGCTCCACCACGGAGGATCGCCAAGCAGACCAACTGGGAACTATTCAACGAAAAAGCTACAGCCAGACTTGAAGCCAAAGACATGACAATCCTGCAGACCATAGATAACCAGCCGGTGACACAATAGACGAAGAAATCAACATGTGGTATGAAGCCATAGGAGAGCCTACCAAGAGGCCACCCCTCTCAAACACAACAGAACACTTCCACACCCACGACAGACTCCAGAACTTATAGCCCTCACCAACTAATTCCAACTGCTACAACAGAGAGCCGAGACTCATGGCTGGAACATCGAAGCTACAACACATACGGGAGAATATGGGAGGATTTAAAAACAAGTTCTCTGGAACAAAGGAACCTTAAATGGGCCGAAATACATACAACGACGCAGGAGAGGTCTGGCGTCGAGTTAAGAGACTAAAAGGTTCCAGCCGCAACGAGACATCATATATAACTGACCACGCAAGAAGTAAAATATATGACGACCAAGACAAAGAACCCATATTCAAGGATATATGGAGGAACATCTTCCGATCAGGCAGGTGAGAGTAAGGGAAAGGGGGCGGGAGTAAGAGGGAGGGATGAAACAGGAGGTGGAGGAGGGAAGTGTCGAGAGGGGTGAAGGAGGGGAGTGGCAGAGGGGTGAAGAAGGGGAGTGGGAGAAGGGTGAGGGGGGGTGATAGAGAGTAGGAATGGGAGTGGGAGAAGGGTGAAGGGGAATGGTAGAGAGTAGGAAGGGGAGTGGGTGAGATGCAGAACAAGTCGGTCAGGCTCGACTCACCACAACGGTCTGCGCAAACAATGACGTCAGCTGGATTGATGTGGATGCACCACTGACGAACGTAAACATAACAGAACTTGTCAGTTATATGTGTGTGTGTGTGTGTGTGTGTTTATGTGTGTTTTCTTTCAAATTCTTCCTCTCTATTCTCTTCCTTTGTCTGTCTGTCAGTCTTTTTATTATTTCATAACTTCTGCCTGACTCATTCTCTATATAACTATCTATCTATCCACAGTATAATCTTATTTGTTTCACTTTGTGTAGACTGTCTCGTTGTTTTGGTTCTCTCTCTCTCTCTCTCTCTCTATCCACAACTCTCTCTCTCTCTCTCTCTCTCTCTCAACTTGTTTTTATCTCTTTATAATCTCGGTTCCTCTTCAGTGTGCTGGGGTGGATCAAAGGCTGAAGAACCCTTAAAGGACACACGGATTAACGGGAAGGTTGGTGCAAAACAAGTGTGGGAAGAGTCAGTGAAGAAGATAAGACTAGTATCTGAATTTTATGCCCCAGGTTGTGTTTTCTGTCGTCTTCAGTGTAAAGTTCCAAATGCAGCCCCAGGAGAGCTTTGAGAGAGTGTGTATATCAGGGTCACATTGGTGATAAACAATCCCCCCCGTCACAACACGCTGGGGTACACAAAGTTGCTTGCTTCCCCGGCCAATTAGTTGATTCTATTGCTGATAGATTTACACGTGATGCCATTTTGTTTGTTTGTTTACTTATCTGACGTCAATTGCGGAACCCAAGATGTAGCAGAACAGGTTGTCGGGAATATGTACTGTAGGAGATGTTCCCACACACACACACACACACACACACACACGCACACACACACACACACACACACACACACACACACACACGCACACACACACACACACACACACACACACACACACACACACACACGCACGCACACACACACACACACACACACACACACACACACACCCACACACACACACGCACACACACACACACACACACACACATAATCACCAAATTCTCGGCTGTGTCGTTGTGTGACGATTATCTTTGCGGAGTTTTACGTCAGTTTTGAGGAGTTATTTTAGGTGTATTTGAGTTTGGAGGTCGCCCGTGTCTCGACTCGTCTTCAGGTCCGTCGTGATTGGAAGAAACTGTTGCAGGAGAGACAGCGTGATCTGTGTGTGTGTGTGTGTGTGTGTGCGTGTGCGTGTGCGTGTGCTACCAGCTGCGTCACCTTCCTCAACTGACTCTCTACCGACATAAACTGATCTACTGAAGCAACTGTACAATTCACTACTACTATTACTACTACTACGACATATTCTGGCTAATCCATTCAAGCTTACTGAGTCGCCAGTTTGTGATTTAATACTTAGTGAAGAACCATCGTGTGTGTGTTTACATGTACCATTATGTGTCTATACGTTCTTCATATTGTATTCTTTAGGTCTTTAATTGCATTTTATTTTCTCTGGTAATTTATTCTCGTTTTGTCCATTTTTAATTTTTTTAGCGATATTGAAAAACATATTCTTCATTATCTACCATTTTGTTTGTTATTTATCGTATTTACTTTTGGTAATTATTTTATTATATATGTAAAATGGATCTGGTGCAACTATACGATTTGTTTTTATTATTTTCACTTTTTATTACTTTCTTCCCATTTCCTTTTTTTCAGTGTAATTCTTAATTTTCTTCTTTTTCTTCTATCTCTTCTTGTTTTTCGTCTTTCTCTCTCTTATTTTCTTTCTTCCTTTCTCGTCGTCTGCCTTTCTTCTTTTCTTTCAATTTTTCCTTGTTTCTTGTCTCTTCTCTTCTGTTCTGTCTTCTTCTTCTTCTCCTTCTCCTTCTTCTTCCTCGCTTTAATCAACGTCAGCTCCAGTAATCTTTAAATTCCTCACCTTTCTTCCCCAGGTAAGATAAATGACTACCCACCTGGACGGCAACACTGTGAGTACGCCTTTCTTTATTGCATGTGTGTGTGTGTGTGTGTGTGTGTGTGTGTGTGTGTGTGTGTGTGTGTGTGTGTGTGTGTGTGTGTGTAAAAAAGATCGTTGCTACAGATTAGTTCCACATTTTTTCCACTGAACTCAGAATTTTTTATTTTATTTTTTTGCTCCTAATCCGTAATCTTCTTTGTTTGTACTGTACATGCTTTATACATGCATATATACATAAATACATACATTCATACGTACATACATACATACATATATCATTACCTTTTCATAATTCAACTTTAGGTCGTAACTTAAGTGAAACACATAAACTCAATTCCTGTTTGGGGCGGAAAATATAAATTACGAACAATTGAGCATTTAACCTTTTGTGCTGTAACTTCAATGGACCAGTGAGACAACTTCCTCAATTAACACACAAGATAAAAATTATACACCTCACTATAATCTTTAGTAGTTGTCTCTGTGTTGTGGTCTGACTTTGTTATTTACGTGTGTTCAGAGTCGTAACTTAAGCTGTTTTGAAGCAGGGGAGATGTATCATAACAACGTCAATAACAACAGTAATAACAGCAGCATTAACAGCAACAAAATATCAATATCATCAATAATAACAAATAACAAGAACAATAATAGTAAAAGCAGCAGCAGCAACAAAAATAATATCCTAAAAATATGAATTTAGTACAAGAAAAACAAAAGTGAAGCAACGTAAATATAAACTTTTAAAAATCTAGACTAGGGACTACACACACACACACACACACACACACACACACACACACACACACACACACACACACACACACACACACACACACACACACACACACACACACACACACACACACATACACATGACCCAAAACATTTCTCGATATTTTTTAACAAATTTCTCGGGCTGGCTGTGTTTAACTAGACGAGATTGTAAGAAGGGCATAAGTAAAAAAAAAATAGTCCGAAGGAGGGAATTTCACCCTTACAGCTATCTCTCTTGACCTTAAGGAGTAAAAACATGAGCTCCTGTGTGAAATCTGGGTCAGCCATGCGCCACTCGCCTGGTCATCCATGGTGTGTGTGTGCGTGCGCGCTTTTGTAAGGTATGTGAGTTAATGTGTGTTTGTTAATTTTTCCCTGGTGTTTTAGTTTATTGTGTCTTCAACTCTCTCTCTCTCTCTCTCTCTCTCTCTCTCTCTCTCGCCTTACCCGCCGAAAGGTAAGAACAATCGCCTGCAAACTTTCTTGAGAGGAAACACCGTTATTTTTTTCTGTAAGGTTAAAGGTCAAGGTTACAGGGTTATAATTATCGTCTTAGGTCGAGGTGTCATTGAGTACTACCTCTTGAACACACACACACACACACACACACACACACACACACACACACACACACACACACACACACACACACACACACACTCAACCTTAGAATTCAACAATTTAAACATTACAGTTTCTAGAAGAGAATGTCCAAGAAAAAAGAAAAATTAAATAATATATATATATATATATATATATATATATATATATATATATATATATATATATATATATATATACACGGAAAGTTTGATAATTTTTTTGGAGTTTAAAGAAGAAAAAAGTTGACTAATCCTTTCATAGAACACTTCGTTTCACACCAGTCGTTAAGTTCCTTTTGTTTACATTTTGCTGAGGGTTGATTGGCTTAAAATTCTAAACAACTTTCATCAACACACAATGGTGGCGGTAATGAAAGAGTGTTTGGTCTACCTACTGCGTGATGAAGCTAGCAACATTACCTCACTTTTACCACCTGTTTCTTTTACAGTATATTTATGTATAGAGCCTTCATGTGTGGAGTGGTTGGTGTTTACCTACTGTGGTGGTAAGGCATTGTTTTTGGTCCTGTCTGTCTGTCTGTCTGTCTGTCTTTCTGTGTGTCCCCGAAGTAACTCTGGAATGGGTCTGCGGATTTGCACAAAACATGGTGTACGTTTGGTCCATATGTGACAAGGTCCACATGATAAAACTTTTGGTACAAATCTCGCCAAAATTGACCAAGTGTCAATAGTTTTTTGGGGGGTATATAAAAAAGTAGACACTAGACACTCCAGCGGTGACTACTGTACTGTACATTAATTTATTGTCAATATTTCGATATTTACTCCTCCATGGTTACTGTTCGCTGACAGAGTTTACTTCCGTTCGAGTGATGCTTTATTATTATTATTATTATTATTATTATTATTATTATTATTATT